AAGGAACACATTACATCTCCGCTACAGAGACCAACCGGTTAATGCTGTTTAGGGAAACAGTCGCTGTTTATTGTGAGAACCATACGGAGCACACAAATACACTGTGTGGGCAGAATGCAGAGACTTTATATATAAGAACTGAGTCCGTACCTCACAGGAAACACATTACCTCTCCGCTACAGAGCCCAACCGGTTAAGGCTGTTTGGGGAAACAGTCGCTGTTTATTGTGAGAACCATACGGAGCACACAAATACACTGTGTGGGCAGAATGCAGAGACTTTATATATAAGAATTCAGTTCGTACCTCACAGGAAACATATTACGTTTCCGCTACAGAGACCAACCGGTTAATGCTGTTTGTTGTGAGAATCATACGGAACATGTAAATACACTGTGTGTGTTAAATTTAGAGTTATAATAATTTAGGGCATGTGGCACATATACTTGCCACACCGATTTAAGCCGATAAGGTGTTATTAATAATACGACGACCAAGGTTATGGAGCGTCAACCTAATGAAGATACATCTGTGTCCATATTCAGGCCGGAGAATACCAGAGGCTCAGCGAACCGGAATGAAAACGTAGTCCACTTTCCTTCTAATCCCAGAAAGCTATTGTGATATTCCATAAATTATGCCTTACGGTAATCTCATGTAAATTTAGCCTTAATCTGCTCCTTAAGATTAATATTCGCTGCACCCTACCACAAGCAGAAATATAGGAGCTGGTCAGCGAGTGCTGACAGAACGTCTGCTATTTCAGTAATTTAACATAAGAATTTAGAACAGATCCTATACATCGCTGACGAATTTGAAAGAATTTGAAAGGAAGTGGCCATGGTTTAATTGAGGTGATATCAGTGAATTTGATTGGAGGAACTGAGGAAAGACATGGAGAAAATCTTCGCCAGGATAGCCAGTGTTCTGGCTGAGATCCCAATTATCTCACGAGTATGTTTAAAGCATCACCGCCGCCCTAGCCTGCTCCATGTAGAGCCGTTGCTAAGTAATGACACTGCAAACTGTTCCCGCTGATAGGCAACAGATTCCTGACACGCACCAATGGACTAAGTGGGAAGCGATGTTCTCTTCGTGGTCCGTGTGACAGCTGCGTGCCGCGACGAAAAGGGAAATCTCGAATCTGAGACAGTCGCAAGTCCCACGGCCGGGGAAGAAAAGCGTCATATGTAACTTCCTCAGAGAACTTGTACTTACTTACTTACTCATGGAGCTGAGCCCATCTGGAGGAGCTGCCAATTCTGCAGCTACTCAAGAATTTTCCAACATTTTATGGAACCCGAAGTTTCATTACGGTCTTCACAAGAGCCCTTCACTGGTCCCTATCCTGAGCCATATCAATCCAATCATTACTATCACATCTCTCTAAGAGTCATTTTAATATTGTCCACTCACCTATGCCTTGGTCTTCCCAGTGGTCTCTTTCCTTCTGGCTTTTCCACCAATATCCTATATGCATTCCTCGTTTCCCCCATTCGTGGTACATGACCTGCCCACCTCATCCTCCTTGACTTGATCATTCTAATTCTACTTGGAGAAGAGTACAAGTTATGAAGCTCCTCATTATGCAGTTTTCTCCAACCTCCTGTCACTTCATCTCTCTTCGGTCCAAATATTCTCCTCAACACCCTCAGCCTGTGTTCCTCCCTTAATGTCAGAGACCAAATTTCACACCCATACAGAACCAGAGGCAAAATTATAGTTTTGTATATTCTAATTTTTATGTTTTTGGACAGCAGACGAGAAGACAAAAGGTTCTGGACAGAATGGTAGCAAGCATTACCCAAGTTCAATATCCTCTTAATTTCCTCCTGAATCAGGTTTTGATCTGTTATCGTTAGAACTAGTACTGCTCAAAAGCAGAACGGTTTCATGAATTGAAAATATCTGAATCTAAGATAGCCGCAATTTATAATTAGAATGATAAAGTCAAGAAGGATAGGATGGGCAGCACATGTAGCATTAATGGGAGAGAAGAAAAATTCATATAGGATATTGTGGAAAAGCCGGAAGGAAAGAGATCCACTAGGAAGACCAAGACGTAGTTGAGTGGATAATATTAAAATATATTTTAGATAAGATGCAGTATGGACTGGATCGATGTCCTAGGATAGGGACCAGTGGAGGGCTCTTGTGAACACGGTAATGAACCTTCGGGTTCCACAAAATGCTGGGGAGTTCTTGAGTAGCTGCACAACTGGCGGCTTCTCAGCAGTCCCATGAAGTTAGTTACTAGCAGTTGGAATCTAAGGCATCTCTAACATCGCGAAACGTAGGTCTAATGTTTTGTAGTATAGATCATAGCTCCACATATTCACATGTTAATCCTGCAGTTTCTATAGCAACGTAGCAACAATGCAAAGTTTATTCCTATATCTCTTGTTTTTCAATGCGTTTCATGGAGACGATCAGGTTACATGGACACGTGGGGGGGGGGGTGCAGGTAGGAACTGAATTAAGTTCTCGGAAGCACCCGGAATTGAATTACTGAGCTGAACACGCTGCCATAATGACGTTATCGCGTATTTTAATATGTATATTCTTGATAACGCGGTTACCGAACGTTCTACAGTAGAACCGGCCCATAATACACGTTTCCTGTGAAACGCGACCAGTGCTTATTGCGCATACAAACACGTGGCGCGGGTATACAGAAAGGATTTGCAAAACCGGAACCACGGGCAATTCAGTGCCCTCCAAAATTTTGTTCGATTCTTGTTTGAATTTTTTTAGATTTTAAAAATAATGTCTTCACTGAATAAGCGTACGAGTCTTACTGATTGTGACGCCTTGCAGTCTTGTCAATTGTTACCGAAGTTTCTAGAGGATACTATGCTTATTCTACCTTGAAGATTGATGCAGCAGGTTTCTTGAAACCACTAGTACCCGTAAACCAAATTACACGGAGTCACATCCCACAATACAGTAATACTGAGAGGTTTGTGTGTTAAGTTTCTCAGAACTGTGTCACAGTGCAGAATGTTAACTTCATTTTGACAAGCTGACAGTCACTCAGGTGGTCAGGTACCGTGTTCACAACAGGTGAGCCAGGTGAGTCGAGCCTACAAACTCGCACCTGTACAATGCAGTTTAATATTATTCTCTGATACAAGCATAGGTCTCCAACTGGTTTCTTCGTCTCAGGTTCGTCAGTAAAAAGTGATCAAACCTCCTATACAATAGGTACCGGGGGCCCTTTGCCTGGGGGTATAGCGGCCAGGGCGGGAAGCTGACCACTCACCTCCAGCTAGTGCCGAGGTCAAGAAAATATGGATGTATACATCCACTCCCCCACACGCCTTCATGCCGTAGTGCTTAATTAGTTAAGCACAGGGACAAGTTTACCTTGCTGTAAAAGTCTGACGTAATGCCTGGACATTCGGGCCGCAGTAACGTGTATATTGGTTTAACAGCAGACTGCAACGTGTTGGAGAGAGAGGGTAGTTACAGGCTGAAAGGCAGTAATGTCCCGCATCTGCTGCATAAGTGTGTGGACAGGGCCCAAATGTTTGTGTGGGAATGTACAAATAATATATACATTTTTTTTTGTTAGCGAGGGTGGGAAGCACAGGGTTGTGGCTTGGCTGTGTTTATACCACGGTGGGCTTATATCGCTGGTAATTAGTCCTACTACACAGACACATAGACAGAATATCACCGCTGTTCTGCCCCCTAACCTACACAAAACAGAACTGTACATATATATAAACAAGTATATGCACTTCATAAACTCACCCCTTGCTGGCTATTATATAACTCGGAGGGATGAAGTTCCAGGCACTGCTATTATAATACAGCCCCACACAATGAGTCCTTATTTTGTAATGCGATTTTCTGAAGAGGATATTTCGGTAGGAATTCTGATGTGTTCAGGTGCGAGATGAGTGAATGAACCGGCTTATAACCCGATTCCTCTGGGACGAGGGGCTCAGTTATCGTGTTTTGCCGGTATCAACAAACACACAAAAAGTGGGTCGTTGGAAGGTGACGTCACTCAACAAGCGCTGAATGTTTTGCAACACGTGGCACGAGACAATTATCGCTGTCAGCTACTGCAGTAGTGTCCTATTCCCTTACAGGAACTGAAATGTTTGAAACTTGAAGCTAAGGGACTAACAGCTGCTCAGTTAGCCGATAGATTTTCCGTGTCATGTTCACAAGAGTCCACCACTGATCCCTATTTTCAGCCAGATGAATCCAGTTTACACCGTGAAATTATATTTAAGATCCATTTTATTACCGTTCTCCAATTTATATTTAGTTCTACCTAGTGGCCTCTTTCTTTCAGCATCTTTATCGAAGATTTTTATGCATGCCGCTTCTCTCCCATGTGTGCTACATGCGTTACCCATTTCATTCTTCACGATCTGATTACCCTGAAAATATCTGGTAAAAAGTACAAGTCATGGAGCTCATTATACGGTTTCTGTGTCCCCTCCGGCTTTAGGTCCTCACAGTCTCCTGAACATCGCGTTCCCAAGCGCCCTCAGTCGATGCATTCCTTCATTTCATTCAGCCCAGTGTTGAGCCCTGGTCTGTTCCTTATTTTCGTAATAGTTTTTACACAGAGGTTAGTACTCCTGGGACGACGGATCAGCTCGTCGCAAGATCGCTACCTACAGAGGACAACAACTCAATAAACGCACATATAAACATCCATGCATTTGAGTGGGATTCGAACCTAGGGAGCGAAGATAGTTCGCTCATGCGGCCCCACTCTGATAGGATCAGCCAATGTATATTAGCCTCTATTTCCGAAGTGACCGGTTCGAATCTTGGCTGGGACACCAAGTCTCCTCCGTGAGATTTTTACCGCTTTCCAAGAATCCTTTGAGGCAAATGCCGGGAGAGCAAGGAGTAAAGCAGAAGACTCCGCCTAAACTTGAGAGCTGTTGGGAATGCAGGAAGTCAGAACCATTAAATGCACTGCAGCAACACGAATCAGCAAATACTACCTGATTCAAAATATTCAGTACTTACCCTACAGTGGCTGTAAGGCTCTTCATCAGGCTCAGTATTACTGTGCTGGGTGCCAGTTTGACTGCTGAGACGATGCTCTGTCGAGATACAAACACAACTGCTTTAGTTCAGTCCAGCTGAGCACTACACCAGTACGTTCTGAACTGACGCAAGTCTGTTTCCGCCCCTTCCTCCCGATCCCGCAAGTGTCAAGATTAAAGTGTATGTTAGAACCTCAAAATCCATTAGGATTCTAACCCACCGAGGTCAGACGTGCTAATAGCGCCCTTAAGTAAACCATGCATGTAAAATGTAGGGGATTCTGGATTTACTGATCAGTTATACACACGACTCATAATTACAAGCAATTACAGCACAACAACCGCTAATCTCCACAATTCACAAATCACCACAGCACTCGGGAAGCCTTTTTCAGCCTTCTATGTCTTCACCGTCCGTTCTTTGGCAACGGCTTCTAACAGTGGAGATTTTTCAGCTTCGGAGCTCAAGTCATCTCTGAACGGCGGCTCCCTTCAAACTGTTCTTTTTCTTCATAGCCTCCAGCAGAGAACTGGCTGGGTTTCCCTGATTGTCTTCCTTTGCGCGGACCCAGTATAAAATACCGTTTTCAAGCTTTCCGTGTGGCCCCCTGTGTTGCGGTTTTCTGAATGAATTTCGCAGTGTTTGCGCATGTGCCACTGATCAGGAGAGCAAGCATTCATCGCAGCAACGATCTGACGTTCAAAAGCGTTCAATGTGAGTCACTTGGAAATTCTGGAAGCGCCGCTAATGGAATAAACGCCGGAAACTGCGCAGGGTTTCCGTCAATCTGAACCCCTCTTCCGAAGTAATCTTTAACCCAATCACGGCCAGCAACCGCAAATCCCTTACACCTACACAAGCAGATACACACAAGCAACCTTGTTCTGAATTCGCTCACCCGCACTGCCTGTCCTTTGCAGCACGAGGCCCCATAATTTCATAACCGAACTGATTCTGCAGAACAGACACATGCCTATAGTACGTGAGACAAAGACTCGTGCATGAGCAGTGCTCATTAGCCTGGGTATTCAGGGGGAAATCCGTTATTAGACGTCAGGTATCACGTTCCTTGACCACTGAAAGACAGAGGAAGGATGAGTACAAGAGACGTTGAAGGGGAGAAGTCATGGAGGACACCAGAGACATTTTTTTACTATTTTATTATTTATTGTTTTTAAATAAAGGCCGTACATTATTTTTTTTATTTTTATCAGCACTATTAAATCATTAAATTTGCCATTTATTTGTATTCTAAGTTTTTTTGTCTCTTAGGGCTACCTTTTGCTTCACTAATCCGGATGACCTCCCCCCCCCCAATTAATCCGGAATAGCGAGGGTTTATTGTATTTTTTTCCCATCTGTTGGTCCGTCTAATCCTTACTCCTCTCCCCCTTCCTTTCTCCTTCTCCTGTACAGTAGAACAGTATGGTAGAAGCTTCCCGATTTAGCATCATCCCGCAAATAAATGGTATCAAATATCGCCCATAACATGACTTTACATGACGACAATGAAAAACATGTGCTACGTACTAAGATAAACATTTTCCCCGACGTCCGCGTCCTCTGTGAGCGCGAACAAACATAGACATATGGCGACAATATGCACGTGTGTTGTCGAGCGATACGTCGAGGCCGTTCGAAGATGAACACCATCTCTCGGACACTGATAATAACTACATTCTCTGTGTTCACAGGAAAATATAGATAAAATTGGTCGTATATTTGAGGCTCACCCTGAAAGCATCTTACAAACAAAATCATACGAAACTTCAGGATTTCGCCGAAGATTTTGCGTGAATTTGTACGGATGCTGACCTTCCCTGAACAAAGAGTTCCAGTCTTGTATTAATGATTCCGATACTTTCACTATTCGATCCGTTGTATTTAAACGTTTATAAATCAAGTTTCTGCGTAAACTGTTTACTAACCAGTCAAACCGGTTTCCAACCTGTTACATCAATGCATCTAAAACTGTGTTAGGAATTGTGCAAGGCGGTTGCTTGCTCTGCCCTCTATGAAATTATCAAGGAGTTAGCGACTTGGATGCGATTACAGAGCTAACTGTACGCCGTCAGAATTCGGGAAGAACCGCGTGAAGAGTAACCTCGTTAGGGGCTGCTGCGTGAACTGGCAGGCTGCCTAATCGCAAGGTAACAAGCGGCCCGACCATACTCACAGATAAATGGAGCATACGGCTTCTGGCTAAAGGAAGAAAACTTTAGGATCCCTAACAGATGTTACTAAGGGGAGTGCTCTAGAAGAGAACACAGAAAGAACTCGGTAGATGTTAACGTGCAGTCATCAGAATGCAGGCTAAAGTCATGACGTAAAGTTAGTTAACATAACCTCCGGAAATGTTACCACGTTCAAATACAATTTCGGAAAGATATTAACAAATCAAAATCGCACTAACTTTTTAAATAATACGGGTAACTATATTATCGGCTTCAACATGAGAAAACGGAGACAGAGTATTTTTGTTTCGCACGTAATGGCGGTACGAGTAACTCAGATTAGGCAGCGTCAAATGATTGCAAGACAGGGAATGATGGATTATAAAGGACGTGGAATGAACCGATATTGTTCTAATTTAAAGTAAGACCCTGACATTTGTCTGCGGAGACCAAGGAAAATCACGAAGAGCCTCAGTCACGACAATCGGATCTCGGATGACGTTCGCTTCCAACTTGCTCGAGGGTTGCTGCTGGATGTCACCCTCGCTTTAAACAGCGATTGCATCCAAAACCAGCGTTCACCTCTTGGGTTTTGTAGTGGAGACGAAGCGTGTTCTCTGTGAGGTACGGTCCACACTTTTATATATTACTTAATGACCCCATTTCCCTTCTGTTCTTTCTCGGTCTCCAAGTTTCCAGAGTTAATGAAGTAGTTAGCGCAATAAATAAATAAATATGTACTGTTTTCAGTAACTAACTGAGGCAGAATTAACTATACCGTGTCTAAAACATCTCTGAAGTTACGTTATCAATATACAATGACGTGCATTTCTACGTCATAATTAGAAAGTAACTAGATTCTACGAAAGTCGGTAAACAGGTCACAAATGGAAGCAAAACAACTGTAATGGACGGAATAAATTTTGCTATGTGAATCACAAGGTAGCAGCACAGTCCAGCTTCATGAAATTCTAGGTAGCAGGCGCGCAAGCGTATGTTCAGAGGTTTGCTAGTCAAGACCGTGCTTCAGAAGTAAACTACCGAAGAGAAGAGTTCTGTTGTAGGCAAAAGGACTCAATGCAAAGGATATTCATGAAGAAATGTTTTCTGTTTACAGTGGGAAGTGTTTGTCATATAAACCAGTTCACAGCTGGGTGGCAAACGTTTCGCTGATGGCGAAGAGGTGACTGTGACAAGAGCCAAAAGACTTCTGTGCTGCGGGCTTCGACGCACTGGTAAAGCGATGGGACAAATGTATCAAAGTTTGTGGAGGATATGTCGAGAAATGAATGTTTTTCTTTTTCCAGGTTTGGATATCACATGTTTTACTTTTTGTATCAATTTGCGACCTGTTTACTGACGCTCTCGCATTTACATCACGCAATGGGATCAAAATCGTCACATCGGAAATCTCCAACACAGAAGATACGTATCCGTAAGTTTGCCTACTCAAGTCATGGAGTAGCCTCAGAGATGAGTGAGGCGAGCAACTGCAGCAGGGCGCATGTGCAGCCGAATGACCGTCCACTTTCTGAACATTCGGAATACTGTCACAGAGCCTAGAGGTATTGTTTATGGGCCGTGCTGTGTGTGTGGAAGGGTTGTGGCGACAAGCATCCCCCCCCCCCTGCTCTAATTTAATGAGATCCCTTCACAGCAAACCAAACCAAAAGTTAACGCCATGCAGCTGGTCCCTCAGGCAAACAACACAACAATGAAACCCGAAATTCTGCGTGTCAAATATTTCACCCTCCGCTTAAAAATAAGCACATTTTAATAAATTAAAAAGCCCTGTTCCACCCCCAAAACAAAACATAAGTCAATGATTTTTTTATTCTTTTATAAAAATTCTGGAGCGTATATTTTTTGGAGGACAAAAAGGGAACATCAAAATTATAGGAGTGATTGTACGTGATTATGGACAATTGCTCTACTGACGGGATTGGGGGGGGGGCAAAATATTCTGAATGGTTTACGCGCGTAATTTCATTTTCCCATAGATTTAGCATAGGATTTGCTGATGGCATATAATGCTAGACTGCCCCCACTACGAAATATCGGACTGTGAAACGAGATAATTAAACGTCATTACAGGATTTACCGATTACATTAATTATTGGGTAGGCACTTCCTTCAGCCGTGTGTGTATGTGTGTGTGTGTGTGTGTGTGTGTGTGTACAGAGGATCGAGCTATTATTAACAGCGAATAAACGGAGCGAAATGATAATCACATATGAAAGTCGCGAGGGAAACTTCACGAAATGAGCGACACAAAATGGCGGCCAGAATGAGCGAGGCGTTTCGTAGTGCAGTGAGGCAGTCCTCACCGAAAGGAACCAAGACGTGAAGTAGAGATTACTCAAATCGCTAACCTGCATGCACAGCTCTTCCTGCGGCTCTGGATTCTGGGCTCTCCGTCCGGGCGTACGAGATGAGGTCATCTGGTTCAGGCATTGCCTCAGTCGCGCAAGTGAACACTTCACAGACCGTGGAGGCTCATAGGGTTGTCAGACGTTGAGGCTCCCACATCGTCTAGACAACTGGCTCATAGATGGCGGTGAGGCCGCCCTTTCCCCCTCAGGAAGATTCCTGGTACTCATTTCTGTTAGAGGCTGAGTCGACTTCAGGGCCATAGTGCGGCTGGAAGGATTAGGTCAATTGAAAAAATCCCCCCCATCGGGACTTGAACCCGCGACCTTCCGGTTTATAGCATAGTGTCTCAACCAAGTATGTTACTGGGTGCCCCTAGTGAACACTTGTGGTATTAATCACCGAGTAATTTGGAAGTAAAATTCCAAGGATCCCATTCCGGAGTTACTGGGTTTGAATCTCAGCCAGGACACTGGCTACTTCCAGCAGTACCTCTATTGTTTTCATGCACA